GTTATGTTAAACTTATATTAAAGTTTTTCTTCATTACCCATTCAAGCCGTCTCCAGCCATTATTAGTCTCAAAGTGGGTTCCTCGTCATCGAATCTCGCTTTTATGTCTAACAATCTAAAGTGACAAAAATAAACAGATGTACTTATGATGCTGCCTCATCAACACCAGCAGCATTGACTGTCTCCTGAAATTCATTACTAACTTCAGTCTTGGTTGGTTTGAGTTCATCCTCATGGCCACTTTCTGATAAAATATCATGTTCAGTTTCATGGCCTGTTTCGGATGCAGTTTCGTGACCCATTTCAGATGCAGCTTCATGGCCTGTTTCGGATGCAGTTTCATGACCCATTTCAGATACAGCTTCATGGCCTGTTTCGGATGCAGTTTCGTGACCCATTTCAGATACAGCTTCATGGCCTGTTTCGGATGCAGTTTCGTGACCCATTTCAGATACAGTTTCATGGGTTGACTTTGAAATGGAAAGAAGCTTGAAGTGTGGACTGCAGTAAAGTTTTCCTCCACCAGTTGTGTAATTTTCCAGCCTTTAAAAGAGAAAGACACCTACTATAACAACACTGATTTACAGAAATAATAAAAGTTTTCACTTTATTTATGTGCATAAATTTGGAAAATAGACACCCATAAAAAAAACGGTTTTGAGTGTTTTATGTTTATTTCTTTAAGTCACATTAATCACATTGGCTTCTCTGCAAAATTTTGACTATAACAAATAAAGGGAGTATCAAAATTTTTTTGATGAAATTTAAATAAATATTTACACAATAAAAAATGAGTTTACTTGACACTTACTGCTGAAATTGTACACTGATTAGGGATATTCATCATCACATAAGTAGAACCAGTATTTTTTAATTATTCAATATTACTATGAGACATTAAGTCAAAACACAGAAAAACTTCTCTCTCTCTCTTCCGTTGAAATTCTAATACACTGTGCATAAAGATAATGTAAAAAAAAGCACTCGTGTGATAACATAAGAAGTTTCTAGAGAGAGATCGACAAATTAAAATTAAGATGATAATATGTTTGTTTCCTAAAAAAAAAGCATTGATCCATAAAGGAAAAGTGGTACATCCTTGAATACATAGGAACCAAATTCTGTTGTGCTTTTTTTAATAACATCCCCCCCTAAAAAAGCATTGATCCATAAAGGAAAAGTGGTACAGCCTTGAATACATAGGAACCAGAACTCTGTTGTGCTTTTGTGTGTGATATTTCATTTTGATTATGTGTGTAGAAGCTTTCAGTTGACCCTAATCATTAAAACGTTTGATTTTTCCTGAAATTATTTTTAAATTGTGTTATTTTCCAGTTCTTGACAATACTGATAGTAATAGAAGTATTACTGATTGCAGGATTGGGTAAATTGATGGCACAACATTGCAATCAGACTTAAGAGTTTAGAGAACAATTATTTTGTGTAAAGCTAAAATGTTCTTCAGTTTAACAACAAGTCATGGAGTTATAAAAGATCTGAAAAAAGTAATTTTTTTTCATTATACGGCCTTTTTTCAATACATAAGTTTTACTAATATTCTTTTAGTTTTTTTGGGTGTACTGGTTCCTATGTATTCAAGGATGTACCACTTTTCCTTTATGGATCAATGTCTTTTTTTGGGGGGGGATGTTATTAAAGAAGCACAACAGAGTTCTAGTTCCTATGTATTCAAAGATGTACCACTTTTCCTTTATGGATCAATGTTGTTTTTTGGGGGGGAGGCAACATTTGGAAGTAATTAGAATGTGGCCACTTGAAATTGAAAACAAAACATTTTTTCATATGCATATTGAGTTTTATACACAAGACATATTCCTAATTTTAGAATTCTATTGGAGGAAAACAAGCATTGTTAACCAGTCAAAATAAGTAACACATCAATATTCAAAACTGTACAGTAAATAATAGTTTATAGGAAATGAATTTCATCAAACAGTGCAATCTAAAAGATCATGGCAGTGTAGTCAGTTCTACACAGGTATTGCTTTGAAAATAGAAAGATCCATTTTACCTCAACTTGTGTATCCAGTCTTTTTTCAACAATCTCAGTTGTGTAATTAATTTGTTTCTTTCTGTAACTTGCATCCTGATGTTTCATTGTCTTTCTCAACATTCAGACTTTCTCCATGATAAGTCACGTTTCCATTGTGCAATTTTTGACATCATGATTTTCAATGTTTTTGATCACTTTATACTCAAACTGAATTAAAAAAATATTTGTGTAACTTATGAAGATCAAGTTATTAAAAAATTTCTGCACAGAACAATTCAATTCATAGCATATGCTTGGATTCTCCAGCAGAAAAAGTCACTTTTCTTCTGAAATATTACAATGATTCTCTACTAGGAAGACTCACCTTGACATTCTGAATTAAACTCGCTTTACCAGAATTTTAGAAGTTTTATTAAGAATTAATTTCGTTGATGATAATAAATGTACATTATTAAAAAAGAAAGAAGTACCATTTCTCTATTAAGGAAGAGATTTAGGAAAAAAATGTCATAAAATAAGGTTCTATTGTTTTTTGAATTTTAGCAAGGGTCTATTTTGTAACATTTTTCATTTTGGTGTGGCATAAAGCTGTTACTGACTTATTCCTTAAAAAATTAGACACATGCACTTAGTAAACCTTTTTATAAGAGACCCAATTGTAATGAAACTTTGTTAGGAACTTCCCCTTATGATGTCGAAAAATTGTGCAAAGGTTCATCCAAATCAGACTTAAAAGTTTTGAGGACAGACAGACATTATTCTCTTATATATATATATATATAAGTGGAACAGGAGAGTTTCTGATTTATAACTTAATTGTATTTGTTGGTTTAGTAACCATGCAATATTGCTTTAATATCCTGAAATTATGGGATGTTACTATTGATATCAATGTTGATCTCTAGAAAAAATTTCAAATTAGAGTTTCACACAAAAGAAACAAATGTGACTATTAATTTATTAGTATATTGTTAAGACTGTTTAACACTTCTCAGACATACCTTAACATACTGTTACAATGCGTGCAGCGAAAACAGTTCCGATGGAATTTAATCCCGCTAGCCTCCATCTTTTCCACAGGGTATAATCGCTTCCCACAGACATCACAGTCTTCTCCCGAAGGTGAACCTAAGTCCTGAAGTCAAACATCAGTGATTTTATTACACTTCTCTAAAAGCTATGAATTGTTCTGTAAATAATAAAAGTTCTGTAATATGTGGTAAAATCAAAACTTCTAATTAAACAACAATGCTAAAGTATTTACAGACAAATACAAGTCTACCATAATTAAATATTCTTTCAGAACAATACTTTTACTTCTTTTGTTTATTCTCCTTAGAAACAGAATCAAGCAGTTCTTTCTAATAATTAACTATACCTATAATTTAAGTTTTATTTTCTTCACTAAAATGTTAAACCTACCATTAAACGTATCCAAACTATCCAGCCTTCTGATGCTAAAATTACTATTAAAACTTATCCAAACTATCCTGTCTTTCAATTTGAAAAATCTTTAAATGCATCCAATTTGTCCTGTTTCCCAGTATAAAAATCAATTAATCAAACTATCAAGTCTTCCTATAAATTACTATTTCATTGACAAAACTGTCTAAGATTTCACATAGTTAGTCCTATCATTACCAAACTGTTAGGTATTCCAATTAATTACTACTATCCTGACAAAACACATTTACATGTTTACCCAAAACAACAGAGTTAGCTCCACTGTTATTACCCAAGTAATGTAGCATGGAGCAAACATTATTTGTCTGGGCATTACACTAATATAAAAATTTCACATGACCTACTGTACTGATGAGAGAAACAAATACTAAAATTAACCGCTGAATTGTTTTATTGAAACTAAGAAATTATTAAACAGTGTGTTATGGTAAAATTCAAATTCTATCTATAAAAACCTGTTCCTATCTGAAAAGAACAAAAACAGTTAAATTATCCTTACTAACACAACAAGAAATGGCTTATTGAAACAGCTTTCTATGAAAGTCATGTGATTCAAACAGCTCAAGTTTATTTTCTACAGCAAACACACTGTAAACAACAATTAATGATGTAGTTATGTTTACGCAAGCATTGAATACTTGTTGATTGGCAATCCACTAGCACGGCATCTTTGCTGTAGAACATCATAATGTGAGCACATGGCTCAATGTAAATATCATGGCTTGACATTAAAACACAGAACTTTTAACCCTCAAATTATACAGCTGTTTTTATACTGTTCATTACTGGTGAAATTCATATGTTATATCCAACTGATAATTTTATGTTTTCCTAACAATTGGGATAAATCAATCATTCCCTGTATAAGAAACTTAAAAGACTTCAAACTAATTACTGGGATTAATTGTAGCATTTGTGTTTACATTTTTTGTATGGCTCACATGTCATTTGAGGCTCTGTAAGTAACTAAGTCCTGGACTCCCAAACAATTGGGTACATAAACTGTTTGGAAAATGTATTTATAAAAACTAAATGGGACCCATGTGGACCACACTGGTAATTTGAAGAATAATTTAAAAAAAAAACTTTTTTTTTTGGTATTAGAGATGAGAACTCCTACTGAAGTTGCTGTTATTTCAAAGGATTATTTCACATTAAATATGAGATTAGAAATAAGTTTTATATTTTTTTGATTTTCACAGTAATGAAAGAATTTGGAACATTATTTAGTTGGTTGATTTAATTTATTACATCACGTTAATGAATATGTGTGCTCTTTGATAGCTGTTTTATTCACACACACACACACACACACACAAAGTAAAAAATTAACCTTTTTCACAAAAATTGTCAGCAAATCAAATCTTTTGATGAAAATAACACTGAAGCCCAAACAGATAAAAAGGAAAATTGTTAATATGACTTAGAGCAACCTTTTTATGGTACCTCCAGTTGGATCCTGGAACCAGACATACCTCTGATGCATATAATTTGTTTTAAAAAAAATTAAAAGTTGTTTATAGTAATAAAAATGTAAATCAAAAGAAATAGAATGAGGCAACAATACATGAACAATGAGTCCTGGATAGTGGAATATATTTTGGAGGTGTAGGACTTATTTTATTTTTTATGTTTTTTTCAAGTTTCTTGTAAACCCCTAAAAAGGTATCTATGTACCACCAGGGGCTGCACACCACAGGATGGGTACCAATGATAGAGAAAATGAGAAATTGGTCACATGATTTAAAACCAGTGAAAACTTTAAAGATAAGTTTTTCTCAAAAACAATCCTTAAACTTTAAAAGAAAAATAAAGAACATAATTTATATATATTGGTTCATAAATGTTTTTATGTAATTAAGAAGATGTAAGAAATGGTAGAAACTCTTTCAGTTGGAAGATTTCACTTTATTTCAGAAATGATCTACAATTGAATGAAATATTTCAATAAACAACAATTTATGAATTGTTAATACTTTTAACTTATAACTAAATACAAGGTTTTACATTACTAAACATGTTTCAAACTGTCACCTAATAGTTATGATGATTTCTCAAATATTGTTTGTAATGTTTGGATATAAACTAACACAGATTCAATGTTAGAACCAGGCATTGGAAAGAGGAAAAATAATTCAATATCATTATCATGTATGTGTATATGATTGACTAAGTTCTATTTTTCTTTTTCAAATTTGGTATTTGAGTGCTTAAGTAACCTGTACTTGAAAATACATACTAGTTAGTATATAATAAAAAACAAATAACAATATAATTTACACATTCACCTACGACTTAATTCCACCAGGTGTCTTAAAACCAGATACAATAACATAATTGCTACATTATAAAGCTTTACTAAGTTAAGTAGCAAAAAACAGTATACTAAAATTATATGAAACATGTTTTTCCATTAAACATATAACAGTAATAAGTAACTAATTACGTTACATATTTGTGCAAAGCAATTATACCTTAAGTATTTTAATACCATAAATAAAAATGTTAACTGATAATTCAATTAGCATCTTTAACTGAAAATATGTAAGTTCAGTATTATCAAATTAGTAAAAAAACATTAATAAAACTTAACTATTTATTGCATTTAGCCAATCATAACAGCTTTTGTATTAAGAAGTTAAAACAGAAAACTGTAATAAGAATAAATATATAAGCAAAAAAATATACACATTTTTCTGTCCTATAAAAAATCCACAATATATTCAGCTTAACGAAACATATTGCAAAATTTTGAATAACTTCCTCCAATATTCCTCATCTTCATCTTTTCTATTTTCCATTTAATAAAGCATATTTTCTCAGACACCAAGCATCTGATAAGAAGCTCATGTCTAGAGAGTAAAAGTCCAGCAAGAAGCTTATGTTTATAAAGCAAGCATCCAATAAAAAGCTCTTGTCTAAAGAGCATCCCTGAAAACATGATGCTCATACCCAAGGCAGAAATGAGGAAATATTGATGAATACATTAATGTTTTATTGGACAATACTTGACTTAATTCACTACAAAAATATATATCCTCTTCATATGCATTTTCTTTCTCCATCCTTTTTCCATCTGCATGCTTCACTTTGTCATCAGACCAAGCACCAGCTGGGAATTCTGGATCATGATGAATGAGTTCACTGGACAATAAAGTAATCGTATCAGATCTTCCAAGAAAGGTCATACTTCTTGTGGATAACAAGCATGCAACAGGCACCGGGTTTCTAATGTTTCACATCACCATACTTGTTAGCTGGTTAGTATTCCAAGACACGCAACGAGACCGGTGGGACACGGTAACGGTCAGTCAGTAATGCTTGGTTAGAGTCAATTTCAGACTAGAAGGTTAATCCAACAATCCTCAGTTACTTTAGCATGCTCCCACAAATGTGGGAAAAGTACAAACTTACAGGGGATTTTTATCCAATACAACCATGGGGGGCACTAATGTGCATTAAAAAGTTTTTCTTAAAACTCACATCCTGATTATATGCATGCACACACACACATATCTTTATTATTGAGACTCACAGCAGCTCTACTAATTGTATTTTTGTTTAAGATTTCAGACTCGACTGGTTACCTACGTGCCACAGGAGAATATTTGGTTACTTAAATTAAAAACTCTCTGGGTTCATCTGCAGTGCAAATCTTCTTAGATTCTGTCATGCATTCTTCACAAAGTTGTTATAAC